TTTGCCTCCCTTAAAATTACTTCTGGAAAATGATAGCTTTGCCTCTGAAGGAAGCAGTCAGAATTTTCTGTTATCCTCTTTCTTTAAAGTGTCTGGTAAAACTCTGAGTGCAAAGGGCTTTGTGTCACATATCAGGCACACACTTATAGATAGAATCACATTCTCAGAAGCAGATGTGATGTGATCAAGAGTGTTGGCAGCTGCTGCTTGTGGGTTTCTCAGCACTCAGTGGACATTAAAATTTGATAGCAAATGTTATCCAACATTTATATAGTAAGACCCTGCCTAGAAAATGTGCAGTGATTATTAAATCATCAACAACGAGATCATGGAAGCTGTTGAAATCAAAATAGCTTCCTGTTTCTCTCTTCTCAAAGCAACTTACTCCCCCACCTCCCTTGGGTGTTATGTAACAAGCTTTGTGGAGCAGTTGGTTATGGTGGTAAAATCTACTTCTAGGCAAGAGAGTAAAAAATAGAAATTGGAGAAAAAGAAAACAAAACACACCAGTTACATTTGATAAAAAATGATGTAAATGAACAAATATGTATATACACAATACATAAAAAAATCATTTGGAAAAATGCACGCAATAGTATTAACAGTAGTTTTGTATGGGTGATGACAGAAGTACTTAGATGACTATCTATTGGCTTTAGAGAGGTATAATTTACATGCAGTGAAATGCTGTAACCCATTAAAGTATACAGTTCTATGAATTTTGACAATGTATAATATTTTTAATCATCACTAAGATCAAGATAAAACATTTGCATCTCCCCCCAAAAGTTTCTTCATGCCCCTTTTAATTAATTCTACTTCCCCCAACCTCCAACTCCAGGCAGCCACTGTTCTGCTTTTTTGCAAAGTGCTTTGAATTTTTTTCATTTTCCTTATCTGTATATTGCAATATTTCCTAGTAACATATATTTCTTTTTAAAACTAAAAAACATATTTTAAAAACTTAAAAATAATTTAAAAACTATGTTAAAATACAAAAGAAATGCAAAACATTAATCTATGAGATAAAGTTATTTCAAAATTGATTTATATACATCTCCCCCATAATATATGCTCCAAAGGGTGGAATTTCTATTTTCTTGCTTTGCCTCCTTATTCTAAAGAACCTTTCCCCCCAAACCACCCCTGACACTCCAGTTATCTGGCTGACCCAAAGTTGCTCAGACCAACCCTGCCCTCAAAGTCCACAGCTCCCATCCCCTCATGAATCAGTGGCCTCTAGGGGTTATAACAATCTTCTTACACAAAAGGAAAAAAAGGGGGGTGGGGGGGAGGAGACAGTCCCTTTTTCAGAAGGTTATAGATATGTGACATTGATTTCAAGCTATTGCTTAGGAGACTCATTTAAATTACTCTTCTTCCCTCATTTCTGTTTGAAATAGCTCTCAACCATAAAGAGATAATTACACAAAGCGAAAGCTTAAACACAGTCCAAATATCAACAAGGTTTCCTTCCATGGCTAGGTCTCCTGCAAAACTTCTGTAAACTTTCCGAGACTCTAGGGAATGAAGGAAAACAGTGGTGAATGAAACAGGATCTTGGGATTAGGTGAGGAGGTTGCAAACCTAAGAAGCTGGTAGCTTCCCTACCTACAAAAGTTATGAAGAAGATCCTAACCTACGTATGAGGTACACTAGGTGCTTCCGAGGAAGCCAAAACAAATGATCAAATATTTATTGAACACCTGCCTGCCTCCTATTCAGATACAAAGTCCTCCTTTGTACCAAAGCACCATGTACACTTCAGATGATGCAGCCTAGAAACCCTGATCAGAACACATAATTTTATTTCGTTAGCATTGCCCTAAGGGAGTAGCGATACAGCATACACTGCCTGCTTGCTGTGTAAGAACTTTACCTTTCTTATTTTTCTTAATTTCTCCATTTTACAAAAGAGGAAATCAAGGTGTTGAGGGTTTGGGCAAATTGCTGGAGGCCGGATGGAAAATAGCAGAACTGGAATTTAAACCTCCAAAGCCCTGCTCTCCTCAAGGGCCTCACGCCTGTTTGCTCTGCAAACAATGGCAGCAGCGCCCTTTCCCTTTAGTCTGCTTGCTAATGTTGTACTGAAAGCATTTGCAAAGAACTTTCATTGCTTATTTGCAAGGCTTATGCCTGTACCTTCCTCTTCTCTTGAGAATATATCTTTCACTCATTTCCTCTTGATTCCACAAGTATGAGATAAAGCAGAAAATGACTGGCTTTTATATATTTGTCTATTTGTTATTGAGGAAGCACTATCACCATGGAGAAAGGGAACAACTCAAATAGCATTCCCGGCTCCTTTGCTTCTGTCACACCAATCTGCTAGATTGATTTCTTCACAGAATTGAGCAGTTGTTAGAATGTGCTGCAGATAGAGCATTTACTTTTCCCTCAACCTTTGAATTAAGAAGATTAATTAATATAGTTAATATTTATTATTGCTCTGATAATTTAAAAGGGAAGATAAGGGAACGTTTTCATGTGCCAGGCACTAAGTGTTTTACATAGATTATCTTATCCCTATTATTATCATTCTTGTTTTTCAGTGTAGAAAATTACTTGGAGAGGTTAAATAATTTGTTCAAGGTCACACAGCCTGTAATTGCTCAAGGTTGGCAGAGCCAGGTTTCAAACCCAGCCTGTACCACTGTTTTACAGAGCTGTTATGCTGTACTCTGCTCCCACCTCCAAATTCAGCTGGGCTCTCATGGGGGTGGCATACTGAATTCATTCAAACAACACTAATGTATTAAACATTTCCTTTAAGGAATGTTGCAAAAAAAAATCTGAGGAGAAAAACAACAAAAATCAAGAAATCTTAGAAATAAATAAGTCAAGTGGAAAGAGAGACCCGTTAACAAGGAAGAGGAAATGAAATAGGGCTAGGGACCGCCGGATCCAGACCTCTAACCATCACTGCCTACTGTGGGGAGCTGTGTGATACCTTAGAGATTTGGCAGAGAGTTACATGGCATTGGCCACTGCCTTCAGTGATGAGACATTTTTATTGTTTGGCTGAAAGTTTTTGTTTTTGTTTTGTTTGTTTTTTTAAAGAAAAGTGTCAGGGTGGGAGGAATGAGACCAAGGGATGGGCTTTTATTTTTTTTTTAAATATATTTTATTGATTTTATACAGAGAGGAAGGGAGAGAGATAGAGAGTTAGAAACATCGATGAGAGAGAGTCACCGATCAGCTGCCTCTTGCACACCCCCTACTGGGGATATGCCCGCAACCAAGGTACATACCCTTGACCGGAATCGAACCCGGGACCCTTCAGTCCCCAAGCCGACGCTCTATCCATTGAGCCAAACCAGTCCCGGCAGGGATGGGCTTTTAAAGTAATTAATTGAAAATGACTCCTTTCATTGAATGTATCAATACTGGAAAGATGGCTGAAAAATCATTTTAATCCCTTTATGATGCTGCCTCATATAGGTCTGGTTTGGTTATGTAAAGTTGTAACAACCGGTCTGGGTGGAGAATGATTCTAATAAGGCCGCAGTCATCAAGGTCATAGAAGACATCTGTTTACAAAAGACATCTGTTTACATCTTTTCCACCTAACCATAATCAGCCAGCCACCTTCAGGACACTGAGTGACAGACATATGTAAATCAGCTGTCATTCTTACACAAAGACTCATAGATATCTTGCCAATGTTCAGTAGTAGGATCTTTTTATGGTGGCAAGCAAATATTTATTGAGCACCTACTATATGCCAGGTTCCCATTATGGAAATAACTATAGTTATTATTAATTTAGGCATAACATCTTCACAGCTTTTAAAAAACATTTCTCTCTCACATTTACCTTTACATGTTTCACTTGTTACAATCTTCTGCCAGGACACCATATCTCACATCAACAACCCACAATGGCCATCCGAGGCTTGGTTTTGCCTCAGGACAAATCAATTATTATTGATTTACTAATAGCTATGTTTATCAATAAGCATTACATAAAATGAAGTATTCTGGAACTAAAAGTATTAGATTTTGTTTGGTTTCTCTGTTACACTTCTTTTCCCCTAAATTGATGGGCTAGACATAGGTGCTGTTTCATTTCTTTCTCCTAATCTGATTTTTAAAAATTTTGAAACATACTACTCATTCTAAACTTTCTGTTGTCTTTTCTTGCTGGGTGTGGCAATTCAGATTCAAATTCACCATATTGTCAACTCTGTGTTTTCTTACATCTGTTTCATAGATAATGAAACCAAGGCTCAGAGAGTTCAAGTGTATAATCCAAGATCATACAGTTAGTAAGTAGCAGCTGCAAAAATGATATAGTTAACCAGTGAGAAAGAAACTTAAGAGGAATAGGAGTAAAGAGTATGAAGTACACAGAGAAAGGTTTCCCTCCTCCCCCCTTCAGAAAAAAAGGTGGGTAGGAGAGTCAGGGAAGTCTCTGTGAAGGAGATGAAATCTAATCTGCAAGATTGCCTATCACTCCACAAACAATTGAGAGTGTTGACTAATCTGGAGCAAATATTTTTTTTCTTTTGTTCTCATTTTAGTTAGATATGATAGTTTATGTTCAGAGAATATAAATGAAAAGTAGATAAATAGCCACTAGCCTAAGCAACTATTATGGTGGAACAGCCAGAACCATCTGTGGCTATGATGCACACTAACCATCAGGGAGCAGACACCCAACACAGGAGCTGCCCCTGGTGGTCAGTGCTCTCCCATAGGGGGAGTGCCACTCAGCCAGAAGCCCAGCTCACAGCTGGCGAGTGCAGCAGTGGTGGCAGGAGCCTCTCCCACCTCTGTGGCAGCGCTAAGGAGCAGTGAGCCAAGCAGTAAGAAGAAGCAAGCAGATGGGCAGTAAGGAACGAGGGATCCCAGGCTGCGAGAGGGATGTCCTGGATTGTGAGAAGGCACAGACTGGGCTGAGGGGACCCCCAAACCCAGTGCAAGAATTTCATGCACTGGGCCTCTAGTTGGAATATAAAGTGTTTTGCTTGACAATATGTGTTTTGCTCGACAATATGTGAATTTTAAGTACATTCACAGGCTTTAATATATACAGAATGAATCTAATGGGAGAAGATCCATTGTCAATGTTGAAATTAATAGTGCATATGTCCATTTATCAAGTTTAGTTACAGTTCTCATAATACAAAATTAATCCTCGAAATGCTTGGTAAATATGCCGATGCTGGGTACAAAGGAATCCTCCACTTCTGAAGGCTTGATATGGGCTCCGATTTAGGTCTCCAATACATGTCCAGCGATTTTTGGTGCCCTTTTGGGAAATACACCATTTGGCATGATCCTGATAAGAACTGAAATGAGATTGTCCAGATATCTTAATTGCTTTGACATTGTAGACATGGTAAGGAAGGGAACAGTTTGAAGAAAGCTCTTGTCTCTTTCGCTGCCAGGTTTCAGTAAGCAAGTGTACCTTCAACTGTTGAGCCATCCAGGCTGCAAAAATGTCTAGAGTTTATAAGGATAAAAATAGTGAGGTTAGTATTTATACTTAGACTAGAGGCCTGATGCACGAAATTCATGCACTCAAGGAGGGGCATCACTCAGTCTGGCCTGTACCCTCTCTCAGTCCAGGACCCCTGGGGGGATGTCCAACAGATGGCTTACGCCTGCTTTCCGGGGGGAGTGGGCCTAAGCCAGCAGTTGAACATCCTTAGTGCTGCGGCAGAGGTGGGAGAGGCTCCCACCACCACTACTGTGCTCGCCAGTCGTGAGCCTAGCTTCTGGCTGAGCAGTGCTCCCCTTGTGGGAGAGCACTAACCACCAGGAGGCAGCTCCTGCGTTGTCTGCCCCCTGGTGGTTAGTGTGCGTCATGAGACCGGATGTCCCACCATTCAGTCAAATTGCATATTACCCTTTTGTTATATAGGACTAGAGGCCTGGTGCATGAAATTTGTGCATGGGGGTGGGGAGTAATGTACCTCAGCCCAGCCTGCACCCTCTCCAATATGGAACCCCTTGAGGGAAGTTGGACATCCCTCTCACAATCCAGGACTGCTAGCTCCCAATTGTTCATCTTCCTGCCTGCCTGATTGCCCTTAATTATTTCTGCCTGCCAGCCTGATCACACCCTAACCACTCCCCTACCAGCCTATCGACACTTAACTGCTCCCCTGCCAGCCCAATTGCCCCTAACTGCCCTCCCTTGCATGCCTGGGCTCCCCACAACTGCCCTCCCCTGCAGGCCTGGTTGCCCCCAATTGCCCTCCCTTTCAGGCCTGGGTCCTCCTCTCCCTCCCTCCCCCCAACCACCCTCCTCTGCAGGCCTGATCACCCCCAACTGCCCTCTTCTACTGGCCATCTTTTGTCCATATTGGGGCCGCCATATTTGACCACATGGGGCGGCCATCTTGTGTGTTGGAGTGATGTCAATTTGCATATTGCCTCTTTATTATATAGGATAAGTATCTGAAAATATTCTCAGGAATGAAAATCATCATTCGTCTCTGATACGTGGATGTCACAGATACAATAATAACAACATAACTGAGATAGTAGATGGAAGAATATTTTGTAAATGATAAAATAATATGCAAATAAAAGTTATCATTATTACTAAGCTGATACTAGTGTCTTAAAATGTTCTTTGTCCCTCTTTTGTACTTTCCCCCTGAATAATCAGAATATTTCCTTTACACAACACCAAATGAGCTCAGCAGCAGAGTTATATAGCATATTATTTGATGATGGTCTTTCATACCATCAATAAAAGAATCAGACTTTGCAAAATGGAGGAAGTTTTGCCCCTGAGCTGACTGAAGTGTGGCCAGGTGCCGGGCAGGGGTCTCTGATGAGCTGGATTTGGCACACAGCTGGGGCATGTGAATGAGCTCCTGCTGAAACATAGCCGGTATGGAACAGCTATAGATGTTTGGGTTGCAGATCAAGAGCTGAGAGTCTGAAAAAGAAACAATCAAGAAAATCTGAGAATTAAGATACAAATGGACGTGTTTTTGTTTTTTTTAAAATTCCAGATATTTTGTGAATTAAACACAGAACAAAAGTATTCCCTTCTTTAAGCCAATAGCTTTCAAATAACTTTTGAGTTAAGATAATTGACACCTAGTGAGCATTTCCTACTTTGCAGGCATTGTTTTATGAATTTTAAGTGGATTTACTAATTAGTCCTCATAGCAATCTTTTTATTAGGTAAGTTCATTTATCATTATTCTCATTTTATAGATGAATTTATGGTTAATTCATGTCACATGCCCATAGTTATAAAGCTTGTAACTGATGGAGTTGCTATGCAAACCCAGGCAGACTGGCATCAGAGGCCATATGTCTTTTCTTCTACATGTACATGTATATATATATGAGAGTGGAGAGCTCTCATGTACCAATCTCCAGCTTCAGGAATGATCAATTCGTGATGTGCACACCTAAGCTCTTTGTTGTATGGCTGTCTAATCATTACATGAACCCCGCTACTTAGACTGGGGTTTGATTTAGCTCAGAATGCCTTGTCATAAGATGAAAACTGGATAAAAAATATTTTAAAACCTTTTTTCTAGAGGCAAGTCACTTTTTGCAGCTATTTAGCAGCCATCTAAGTAAAGAGTGATTGGTAAAATGGTGTTCCTTCTTTTATTCTTTCTCTATCATAGTTTTCCAAAGCCAACTTATTAGATCATTTGAGCTTGAGGCCTTAAATTTTAGATCATCTGGGGACTCAGATGGGTCAGATTGGCAGGCTACAGGCAACATGAGATCTGTACTTTTAAAAAAAAAAAAATTTATTTTATTTATTTATTTTTTATTTAGATCATATTTAAAAAGCAGGATCTCCCTCTCTTCTTTGAGAGATGCTGGCGAGGGTCAATACTCCAGTTTGTCACATATCTACTGCCCATGCAACATTCACCTGTTTCACCCATTTCTGTTACCTGTTGGGCCTCTGTAGACATTTGCAACTACTACCCCTGACCAAGTTCATAGATTTTATGGAAAGACCCAGGAAACCAAGCTCCAGTATGTGAGCCTGCCCTAGGTCTCACCATGGCAAAGCCAGTATTAGAATGTAGGGATCAGAAGGTCTATAAATAGAGAAACAAATGAAGTGACCAATTTATTCATATAGCCGAAACACACACACACACACACACACACACACACACACACACACACACACACACACATATGGCTAATAGGCAAAGTGTCCCCTCAAGAGTTCGACTGGAGACCAGGAGTTCAATCACTATGACATGCGCTGAGCACCAGGGGGTGACATGGAATGAAGAGAGGTCCTGCTGGCATCTGGAAGGCCATGATTGGCCCTGATCACTGGCTAGGCCTAGGGACCCTACCCATGCACGAATTTCACGCAGTGGGCCTCTAGTATATTAATATTGCCCCTTCTTCAACATTGCTATATTTTTTGCACACACTAATGTTACCTATGGCTTCATACTGGTTATACTTGAAAGTTACACAGATGCCAGTTTGTCCATTTCGTCTCCCTGTGGGTGGATAATCATAGCCTTCTTCAGGGATTGGAGGAAACTGGGGAATAGAATGAATCAGCCAGAACCCTTGGACTCTGTTCCACAGCAGCAAACCTACCAAAGATACAGTAAATACAGACACATTAGAAAAGCAAATCTCCTTTTTCAAATAGAGTTCAAAGTTACAACATTTAAGCCCATTTATACTTCAGGCTAATATTTTATTAGGCTGATAATCACAAGCTAATTTTTTCAGATTTCAAAACCAATTCAGGCACAATTGCCCCATTTCTGATAATAAGCCTCTACAAAAGCGGACCGAGGGGGGCCATCCTGTGAAGAGTTAGGAGAAATTTCTTGTTGAAATAACAGAGAAAATTTGTTTTGACATAATTCAAATTTACTAAATTGGAATTTGACCTTGTTAAACTATATAGTTACCTGGCAAGCTTTAGATATGTCTTCACTGCTAAGCAGCTAAGTTATTTTCAAAAGCTGGCTAAAAAGCAGAGTTGAAAGAGAAAATATCAAATGAAGAAATGTACTTGCACTAATTATTTGTTGTAAGGAACTGGTGCTCATGCATTTGCAAAAGAATCACATAATTCCACAAACCAGAAGAAAAAAAAAAAGAATAAAAAAGAAAAAAAGGAAAACCATGCTGAAGCATTTCAGTTAATTGCATTTAGTAAAAATTTCTAGAGCCAAATAACTTGGAAGCCAGCAAAGAAGAAATTTTCAGCTGAAACCGGTTTGGGTCAGTGGTAGAGCATCGGTCTGCGGACTGAAAGGTCCCAGGTTCGATTCCGGTCAAGGGCATGTACATTGGTTGCAGGCACATCCCCAGTAGGGGGTGTGCAAGAGGCAGCTGGTCGATGTTTCTCTCTCATCGACGTTTCTAGCTCTCTATCTCTCTCCCTTCCTCTCTGTAAAAAATCAATAAAATATATTAAAAAAAATTTCATCATCTTGTGATATGGCAAAAAGAACCTGGTCCAACAGCTATCCTATATAATGATACATATATCCAGTGACTGAATGGCAGAACGACTTGAACAACTGTGGCCAGCCCCACCACCAATCAGCCCCCATCAGGACAGGCTGACTGGATCCCACCAGTGCATAAATTCATGCACCGGGCCTCTAGCATATTTATAAACAGAAATAGTCATAGATCCCTGTTGGGCCAGGCCCTTTTTGCCATATCACAAGATGATGAAAATTTCTTCTTTGCTGACTTCCATGTTATTTGGCTCTAGAGATTTTCATCAGCCTGCAGACTGTAAGGTTCCAGGTTCGATTCCAATCAAGGGCATGTACCTTGGTTACAGGCACATCCCCAGTAGGAGGTGTGCAGGAGGCAGCTGATAAGTGATTCTCTCCCATGTTTCTACCCACTGACCCAAACTGGTTAGGGCATGACCCTATTTAAAAAAAAAAAAAAAAATTATTGATTTCAGAGAAGGGAGAGGAAGAGATAGAAACATCAATGATGAGAATCATTGATCAGCTGCCTCCTGCATGCCCCTACTGAGGATCAAGCCTGAAACCTGACTGGGAATCATATCATGACCTCCTGGTTCATAGATCAATGCTCAATCACTGAGACCCACCATCCGGGCCCCATTTTTACCAATGTACATTGGCAAGATCTAGATAAAAGCTGAAATTGCCCAAACTCCTTTGCACTAGGTTTCTGGATATGAATTCATTTCTGCTGATTAGATGTGCTTGCACAATATTTTGAAGGCAGAAGTGGGGTAGAGGCATCTTCTTGCAGTTTGGGCTGTTTGCTGCTGGTGACCATGGTTGCAGAGATGTGGAGGTTTCTGCAGCGGAATCCAGGCTGTGCACAGGCAGTTGTGGCAGAGGCAGTGCTTAGTGACTGGAGGGCACTTGCTGGGCAGCAGTTTCCTGATCCCGGGTCACAGCTGTGCCACAGTGTCCTTAGAATTCATTGTGGCTGAGGGACCATTTCCTCCCACTGGGCAGGGAGTCTTTCCTTGGGGCCCAGCCTAATACCCACTCCTCCAGCTTTCCAATGATTTCCCAAGCACTAATTCCCTGTGCTAAATTCTTTCCTGCCTAATATAGCAAAGATCTAAAAACATTTTGGATCCTCTACTTTCAACAAAAACAATGCTGCACAGGGTCGGGTCTGAGAAGTGGGTGAGGTGTTGCGGAAGGCTCCCTTCTTTGAGGCTCAGCTTCCTCTTCTGTAGAACCGAGACCAAAGGTTATCTGTTCATAGTTACTAAAGACCGTGGCAGCTGTGTTTCCTGAAGATGGCCACAACATTTCTCTGTGGCCTTGCCACTTTCTACCACGTCCTCTCTCTTGAAGTGGGCTGACCTCTGATGCACTGGTAGCCAGCACACTGTTTGCCCACAGAATTCCAAGGCCAAAGCCTAAAAGGCCCAGGGCTGCAGCCCCACCCAGTCCTCCAGGGTTTCCAGCTCCAGCCCTCCCCCCCCACCCCAGTGCTCAGGGCTCTGGCTGGCCCAGGGCCTTGCCCTCCTAGCTTGCTTCCCCTCCGGTGGGCAGCCCAGTGCCTCACTGCACACCATGGCCCACCTGCTAGTGCTGCTGGGCCCAGAGGTTAGGGTAAGAGCCCAGGTCAGGCCTCGTGCCCCCTGGCTCCTGTGCGCCCTATTCCTGCCACAGCTCCACCTAGGGCCAGATGCCCGAGTGCTGTGCATGGCCTGCAGGGACTGCTGTGGCCACCAGGAAAGCTACCCATCCCATCCCCGACTCTGGCTTCCTGATTCTGAGTCCACTTCTGCCACAAAAGAGCTTTCCCTTTGCAGCTGTCTGAGACAGAGCACCTCCAAGGTCCCTGGATCCCAAATTTCTGCCAGCCAAGGTAGCTGGCTGGCAAGCCCCACCCTGATTGGGGTGTTGGGGGGTGATCCAGCCCGGATCAGGCTGGTTGGCTGCCGCAGTGTGTATCATAGCCACAGGTCATTCTGCTTGTCTTGGTCATTCCGCTGTAATGGTCCCTGAGTTTATATATCTATATATCTAGATTGCATAGATATATAGATATATAGATATATAGATATAGAGATATAGAGATATAAAGATATAAATACAGATATATAGATATATATGTAGATACATAGATATATAGATATATAGATACATAGATACTTAGATACATAGTTACATAGATACATAGATACATAGATACATAGATACATAGATACATAGATACATAGATACATAGATACATAGATACATAGATTAGGGTAGTTTTGGTAGTTTTTGTATGCTAACAAAACTTTCTAGTTTGTATATGACCATGCAAACATAAAACTCATTCACGTTTGCCTTATTGTTAAGTGGAAACCAAATGCCTGCCAATTCTTTCTCAAAAACACACTTAAGAAAGCACACTATTGCTCTCTCAATGCATATAGAGTCAATACCTGTGTATGAATAGAAAATGTTCAAAATTCTGTTGCTTATCTGAGCTGGATAACTTTCAGGGGCTATCTCTGCTCAGATGAGTGTGCTATTTGGCTGAAATCTTAACCTCCTGGTATGGATGCCACAGAATGTCACAGGATGTTCTCTCACCTGTTGGCAAAGAGAACTTTTCCATTTGACATTAAGTCCCAGTCCTTTTCCAGTCCCTCTCCTCCTCCCTTCCCCAAATCCCTGTAGCAACCAACAGAGTGAAGAGAGTGGTGGTGGGAGATAGTTGGTTGAGAAGTGAGAGAATGTGGAATATTATAAAAAATTGTTGGGTTCCATGCAAATAGGAGGGCAACTTGGGCTAAATCAAAAGCATTCAATGCTCATGACATTTGACAGCCATTACAAATTATATTCTAATCAGAGGTTGCAAACTGGCAGATCCATATCATTATGCTTACAGAGTATTTTTAAAACTTTTAATTAATTGCCAACATTTAAACACTGAAGAGATTTCCCACAAATACTAATTTTCAACGTCCTCTGAAAAATTGCATTCCAATAAGACATTCTAAGTATTGAATAGTAACCGCCCCTTTAGACCAAGTATGTACTCTCCACCTTCCCAGGTACCTTGCTCGTTCTGCCCACTTAACTTGCTGACATTTCTTGCCTGTTCCTGAAAACATTTGGGTTTGAAACCTTTTGAATACTTACTGCCATGAAAAGTTATTCATAATATGTTAGGTTGAATAAAGATTAAAAACTAGTCATAATGATAGTTTTATAAAAATGTTTTAAAATATGTTTGATAAATAGAGTGGTGAGGACCTGTGAGGGGTGGGTAGGGGCTGGGAGAAGGGGGGAAAGGAGGAGAACATGGGAGATTTCTCTAATACTGTCAACAATAAAAACATATTTAAAAAAATATGCTTGATAGAAAAATTTAGAAAGCATTAAATGTGATTATCTAATGTGTATTAAGATGATAGATTTCTTTCTGTTTACTGGCATTTTGAACTTTTCTAAAATGCATGTACATGTGTAGATGCATATCTTATAAATAGAAAATACTAAAAGTTACTATAATATGTATTAATATATAACAAAATTACTATAATGTAAAAACTAAAAATAAAATTTTATATTTATAAATAAACATTTAAAAGTAAATAAAAGGGAACTAAACACTAAGAAGAGTAAGTTTTACTCTATGTAAATTATAACTAAATAAACCTGACTAAAATGTGCGGGTATACACACTGAGACACACATACATATATAAATATATATGTATATGTATATACTGGCTACTTTTCCCCGTAGTCAGTACATAAATTTCTGTTTTAAAGCATATATCTAAAAATATGTTAACAAAAAGGCATTTGTGAAAAGGAAATTATGTAATTATAACTTGTGATAGAGAAATCAAATGTTTTGATAACTCAAAATAAAGCATTAAAAATGAAAAGCTCTCTTTTTAGTGTGGAATATAAGAATATTGAAGACAAAATATTTAAGAAAGTGTTGACTTTCAGTAAGAAAGAGAAACTAAGAGCCTTTGTCATACCTTTGGAATGTCCGTATTTTCTGCTGTAATTCACAGATTTAGGGACTGCGTCATTGTACACTAGATAGGCGGTGTTATTATTCTGCAGGAACATATTAGGGTTAAAGTGGTGCAAATCTTCCACTTACAAATGCTCACAACATTTCTACCAGCTACCTAGCCTGCAATGCAGAGCTTTCATTAATATGCATGAGAAGTCATCCATTCCCTTAATGGGCAGCTTCCCCATCAATCTGAATTCTGGGATCCACAAGACCAGGGCCAGAAAACCCATTCACACCCAGGCATGGCTTTGTCTTGCATGGCAGGAGCCTTATGCATTGTGATGTGTGTGAGGATGACATTTCTATATCTCTTGGTTGTTTTGGACCCATGCTTCTGATTAATCACCGGTGTGTAATAAAAAAGTAGTTAAGTATTTGTTCAGGAAATGAAGTAGGAACAACGGAACAACCAGCCAAGAATTACACAGGGGATTTTCCTGTTGATAGTATAGGCACAATGCAGAACAGGTTGTCAGGATCTGATTTCTTCTGCCTACTTTGTGCTCTGCTGCTTGGGCGTGGCACTGTGTGGAATGAGGATTTCTCATTCTTGGTTCCCCTACCTCACTGACTGGAGAGGATTTTCCTTCTGTCCCTTTCTCTATCACTTCACCTTCCTGAATTGGTATTTTCCTGCTTAGAAAAAGTGGTGAAACTGCAGGTGTGGTATTGGGTTTCCTCTGGTAACCCAAAATACTAATAAATTCTCCAAAATAAAGCTACTACTTTGAGAGTATCTCAGTGTCATGTTTAGAAACTTACTTGTGTTTGCTCTGTGTGGTTTCATTTCCTTTGTGTCATGAAGCAGTGATCTTTATTGAATCCAATAATGTCGATATTTTTAAAAATCTCAGTGACAATTAAAAGCAGAAAATGACAATCTGTTTCCTTAAGAAAGGCCTTTGCTTTTCCCTCTAAAAAAAAAAAAAAATAATCAATCACTGAATCTCTTATAGCTGCTTAATTATTTGATGTAATCTAAAAACATTTGTTAAAAAAAATGTGCAGCATAATCTGTGTAGCATTCATGGTTACTGTATTTAGAAACATCAAGGCAGTAAGCTGTATCTCACCCTCGTTTTCCACAATTGACCATAGCTACCGTTGGTGTTTGCATCCTTCTCTGGAGACCTCTGACAGTTATTTGTTAAGCGGGCAGCAAATGTGGTATTGAGGGCAGTGTGTGCCTTTGGGGTGCAATGTGGAGGGGCTCTGGAAAGATTCAATGAGGAAATTTATTCTTATATTATGATGACATGAGTTATTCTAACCAGGTTTTAACAACTAGCTACGGTTATAGGGGTTGTAGCCGTAGTTGGAATAACAGCTTTCTGACATAGGGGAAAGATCATGGACTTAAAAATAAGCATATGTAAGCATGTGCCTTTGGACAGCTTTATTCCTTTAACACATATATGAGTATTATTTTGACTAGTGAACAAGAAGGGTATGGTCTCTGCCTCCAGTCTAGCTGGGTGAATATAGACAGGCAGGTCAGACAACAGAAACATTGTTTGGTGTTGTTAGGAAGGTGTATGAAAGATTCTTGTTTACAAAGGCAAAAGAAGAGAAACAATTTTAAATGTCATCCAGATATTGGTTTAGGTCACCTTGACATGTGAGACTTAAAACCAGTTGGTCTGACCTTGCATTCTACTCTCAGAAGTTCAACTCCAGGTCAAGAGGTGGGGAATTATGTTCTCGTGGTCACATAGTTCCAGTTTCCAAAAAGCACCCAATCTCACCTGGATATCACCCACTATTGTCCTTCTTCTTCTGGTTCCATGCCAATCAGACCTGGAAGTCAGCCCCTTGACTGTAATTTCTTCCCTAGAACCATCACTCAAGGCATTGTGTATGAGCAGGTTTTCATGAAGTATGAACATTGAATAATTGTACATGATCACGCTGACCTTCCCCCAATTTCCCTCCACGTTTCTTTTACTTTTCAATTCCTAGCTCCCATCTATCCCCTTTTTTATATTGCAGAGCAGTTTAGCTCTCTTGCCCTCCTAGGCTCTGATTTGGAGCCTCCAAATATTATTATATTCGGCCAAACTATGAGCTCTCTGCCCCAACTAAGGTTGCTGACAGAGGCTCATGGCTGCTCCTCTCCACTCTCTCAACCCCCTCCCCCCGCCCCATTCAGTCCCTGAGACTGGAAGGGAACAATGTGTGTATTTTATCACTGCTGAGTTGTATTCCGGCCTTCAGCCGCAGCCTTGGAAAGCAGAGGCAGCCACAGGCGATTTCGATTTTACATAATAATCTATTCAAAACGGAGTTGCTGCTGAGATAAAATATTCTTTTTAAAGCTCCCAGAGCAGTGCCTGGCACCTCACAGGTAGTCAAACAGCTTACAAATAAGTTTTGACTTTGAAACTTGGCTCTGAAGGCTGTGAACATTAGCAAACACAGTGACAGCTCTCTGCACATTTGAATAAATACTCAGATTCACATGCACAGCAGTGTCAGAGTCTCATAGTACTGCTGGGGGATTAATTAGTTAACGTATGTAAAAGCCCAGAACATTGTAAGAGCCGAGTCATTTTATGTATTTATGTAAGTTGTTTGTTAGCAAATGCATACCTGAGTGTACTTGGACATGATTATTGTTTGATTTTACTTGTCACCCCTGATTGAAAGCGGTATCTCGTCACTGAACCGCAGATGGTGCCAGGGATGCCAGGAAACTGCCCACGTTGAGCCATCAAGCCCACTTACCTATGTCTCTTTTGCTGGTTAGCTCATCGCCTGACGAAGGCCAGATAGCAGGTTTAATCTCCATTCAGGCAAATGAGATCTAGGGTCTTGAACAAGAGTTTAGGCCTCAACCTACCATTTTGGAAAAGATTAATGAAAAGGAAGACTGGGCGACCCCTTGTATAGGTCACCCCCATTTATGGCTTAAATAACTCCGTAACTAATGCCACATTGATCAAAGATCTGCATTGCATTTTGCCAGGAACAGGTACTTCTCCATAGTTCCATTAGAGGGATGAGATAGCCAGCAATGAATTTGGCAGCCAGAAGACTTTACTATTTAATTAGGTCACACCTTGCCCAGTGATACCGCTGGACACGGTGCTGAATGTATCAACGATTTGGCATTACTGCAGAGCAGCAATTTTCAATCTTTTTCATCTCATGGCACATATAAACTAATCACCAAAATTTTGCGGCACACCAAAAAATACATGTTTTGCCAATCTGACAAAAAAAAAAAAAAAATAGGTATAATTTTGACTCATTCACACAAGATGGCTATTGTCTTAGCAGTTGTCATTTTTTGATTTGACAATCTAAGGAAAAAGACGTCAGTGCCCCTGACTAACTAGTCAGGTATTGCATGTTTTAAAAATTCTTGCGGCACCCCAGTGCGCCTGACATGGCCCACTGGTTGAAAATCGCTGCTGTGGAGTCCAATGCCATATTCCCTGAAGTCTTGCTCAGATTGATTCAGATTGTGAATCAAGGTGCAAGGGTTGGGGGTTGGGTAGCTGAGCAGTTAAAATCTTTTGGAAGTTTTGGATTCTGTTTTAGGCATTTGTATATGATTTAAAAGAATAATTAGCTGTCACATACCTTGGAGGCATAGGCGTCATACAGCTGGTCTAATGTCCTTCCCAAAACACTCCTGGAGCTGTTCATCAGCTGCTTGCTCTTCCTCCAGCTTCTGGTTGTAGAGTCCAAGTACAGGTATTCTAACCCAGTCTTCCTACTTTCCTCGTCTTGCCTTTTAGGTAATTTATAAAAGGCAAACCTAGCAAAGGCAATAATTATGAATGGCTGACATATATTGACTGCTTCCCTGAAGGCAGCCACTTAAATATAAGCACTTAAATATATCATTTCACTTACATTTCACCAAGGCCTCTAAGTCTAAGGAAAGGAATGTGCTCAAGCCCTCATCTGTTTTCCCCCACCTTTATTCTTTTCTTTTTTTTAAAATATAGTTTTATTGCATTCAGAGATGAATGGAGAGAGAGAGAGAGAGAGAGAGAGAGAGAGAGAGAGAGAGAGAGAGAGAGAGAAACATCAACGATGAGAAATAATCATTGATCAACAGCTTCCTGCATGCCCCCTGCTAAGGATTGAACCCAAAACCAGGGCATGTGTCTCTGACCGGAATCAAACCCGGGACCCTTCAGTCTGTAGGCTGATGTTTTATGGGCTCCCATCCTTATTCTGTTTGTTCCCAGAGAAGGAAATGTGAACCTGACTGGACATATTCTAAGACGTTAGCCGGCCTGGTGGTGGGATTCCTATAGTGATAGCGCAGGAATACTGAGAGTGTCTCTCTCTGTCATTTCCACAGTCCAGTTTGCTACACTGAGGAGAAGGCCAAGGCCCAGGCCTGGACTGGAGAGGTCTTTGGTGTGTTTTTTCTCTTCCGCCCTAAGTTCACCTTTGTGACTGGCTGTCTGGTCTGAGATTTGGGTTTGGGCTTTCAGGTAGGTGGAGGCTCCCTGAGCCTCTGGCCTAAGCCACATTGTTCAGTTTAGGTTCTAAGAATGCTCTGCATTGAGAGTTCAGGGCCAAGGCCGGTTAATTAAGTAGGCTCCGTGCTTTCTATCACTGCTGTCTCCTGTTTGCATATCTCTTTTGGGGAGGAGAGATGGTTGGGCCAATATAGCATGTGGGCATGTTTGGATCATCCAGCTCAGGGTTTCTCAATGTGCTCTATTCACATTTTGAGCCAGATCATTCTTTGTGGTGGGGGACTGTCCAGTGCATGGTAGCATCCCCGGTTTCCACCAATTTGATGCCAATAGCACTCCCCAGCTGTGGCAATAAATCTGTCTGCAGACATTGTTGAAAGTCTCCCGAGGGCAAAATCATCCCGGTCCAGCCAAATATTCCCTAATGGTACCAACTCCACATCTAATCCTCAACACTCACCTTAAAGCAAACGTTGTAATGAATTTACTATTACCCCCAGCAGTGTTTCAACTGCCCATAAAAGCTTCTCACTACTTACTTGGTTTTCTTCAATCTTAGGCTTCTAAGTAAATTTGTTCTTGCCCTGACCATGCTTTCTTACTTTCAGGGCAAGCTCCTCACATGTGGCAGGAAGCAAGAAAATTATTCTTTGGTGCTGACTTAGTATTACTCCACCTTTAACTCTCACAGTAAGTCGTAGCAGCTTTAGACTGTCTCACTGTCTGCTCAGCTCAGCATTCCCTCTGACTGACATTGCTAAGTAATATGTCCATTTAGTTAGAGCAAGAAAAAAATGTAAATATTTATAACAATTTGATGCCTCTCCCCCCTGGTTCCCTCCAGTAAAGGGTGTGTAAACTATACCATTTGCCATGGCACAGCAGTTGAGAACAAGTGCTTTTAAGTATTTTTCCTGGATGGGCATCTCCAATTATATGTTGATGATTCCCTAAATCAATTTCTAGCCCAGATCTCTATGCCGAGGTCAGATAAATCTAAATGCAAGAATGTTCCAGAGAGGATAATCTTTATATTTTTGAAACCATGTTTATGATATTTTGCTCCAAGTCTCCTCATCCCCTGCCATTAGGGAACACATGCCCGCAGTCACAGAAGCCAGCAACCTGAAAGTCTTTCTTAACTTCTCCCTTTCTCCTACGACCTTCAGCCATCCATTTCTAAGTCTTCTTAGAGTGTTCCCCCCTTTCTGTTTCCATGACCATTTCTCTAAGTTGGGTCTACACCTCTTCTCACGTGTAATACTGGAAAGGTCCTGTGGGCCCTCATGAGTCTAGACTGATCCCCAGCTGCCCAGCTGTCACAGTACTGCTAGCGGGCTTTCTAAAATGAGAGTAGGCCACATCTCTGCCTGAAGTCCTTCAGTAGCCCTTTCAAAGTCAAGTTCAGACTCTGGGGTTCAGCACATGAAGCTCTTCACCTATCTCCCTAAACTCACCTCCTACCATCTCACCGTCTCCTTAGGCGTCAGCAGTATTGAACTGCTTTCAAACTTTCCCCCTTGTTTTTTGCCTCTGGACCTTCTCCTTGCTTCTTCATTGGCCTGAGAAGCCCTTGTATCTCCCTTGTTTTCCTAACTTATATTTGTTTTTAACTACTTAGTTCAAAACTACTTACTCAGAGAAACCTGAGGCTCTACGCTCCCCAATGCACCATGTATGCCCTTCCCACATAGCTATGAGCTCATTAGGGCAAATATGTTTTGTTGATATTTCTGTATTCAAAGCTCAGCACAGGGCCTGCTACGAGCTGAGTAACTGTTTGCTGAGAGGCTGAGTGAACGTGCCTGAGTTCTCCAGCCTGAAGTTTACACAATGCTTGACGCCAACTACAATGGCAAAGCAAAATACCCTAATTAAAGAGTGAAAAAGTGATCAAAGCTTTAGGGGAATCCTCGGCCATGATGCAAAGCTGTGTTTAGTCGCTTTGATATTGCTCAAGAGGCCACTGACCTACCCCCAACTCCAATAGCTGCTTGTGCTGCCTAACAAATGAGGTGAACCAAACAGGACTGTGTACCATCCTGTCCTCTTCCTCATTGTCATAATGAAAAACAACGTAAGCTCCAGTGTTAGAAAGTAATCTGACTTCTCTCCTCTGTCAGTCTTTAAAGGGATCCTGGGCAGGTTCTGTTAGCAAAGTCACAATGCAAGAAAATTGCCAACTGAGAGAAACTGTCAGCTCTACCCACACCTGTGTCCACCAGTCTTGCCACTGAGAGCAGTGAGTCAGGCCCACAGGGCTGCTCAGCTCTTTCTCAGGGGAAGCTCCCTCACTGAGAAGCCTATCTGGATATTAGGCCCATTCACACACTTTCATTTCCTCTCTTTTCAAGGGAGCGGAGGGTGGAAGTCTCCCTTGGGAACTTCACAGTGAACCAGTTTGCCTCTACACTCTGGCTATTTGCATTTACACAAAACCTTACATTTCTTTTACCTACCAATCCACAGCGTCACCGTCTTCATTTCTGCATGATATTGCCGCCTCCAGGACCCCGAAGAGGCCAAGGAAGAGCAAAGCCAGGGCTCTTCTTAGAAGACTTGCTGTCATTTTCCATCCACCACCTCTGTTCAGTGCCACAGCAGAAACTTCCCCTCTAGGTTGTGGAGTCTGTGTTTCAGGTCTCTCTCAGGCTGTGCTGGCGCTGACATTTGCTTTCATCTACCTCTGCTGTTTGTGGTTCTGGCATTTTCAGAATGGGACGAGTCTCACATAGTCCTGTGATTCTGTCACAACAAGCTAGCTTGACTCCGGATGCTTTTGTGCTGAATTGTTGACTGGTTTGCGAAGTCATCAAAAAGTTCTAGAGAGAAAAAAAGGGACATAACTTAACCCTTTGGAGTGAACATTGTGTAATGTTAAGTTCAGTAGACAAGGGAATTCCATGTTGATAAATAGATGTTGAATTAAATATATTTCATTTTCTCTCTCCCCCTTTCCCCCCAATGATTGTCTCTCTATGAATGAGAGCTAATCTTGTGGCTTACTCATTAAATAGAAATGGCAACACCTTAGTAATAACTAAGATCTATCATTTGTAATATTCTCTATCTTGAGGAAACAGTTCCTGAAGGGTATTTCAAAGGGTTGTTTCAAAGTAAGAGCAAACTCAGTTGCATTTTACCAAAGATGTTTACATATGCTCTCCACCTCCTGGTTTTAGCCACTCAACATGGTACTTTAATGAGGCCTTGGTGTCCAATTGGCTGTAATGCAATCAGGTAAACATATCGACCTCTTACTCTTCAGGCCAAATAAAAAATGTTAGAAATATCTGTTTTGCCCAAACTAGTCTTTCTCATTTTTGAGACTGAATCTGAAGTAGAAGGCCAAGAGAAAATGGCGCATTACCATAACGACTATAAGGTGAGACCATTCTCTTTTTTAGAGGAGGGGCATATGAAAAGAATTCCTCTTTGATGCTTCTGAATTAGTTATTAAAGATGCTGTTATAATAAATAGCAGTTAACCTCATGCCTGGAAATCATTATGGCTCTTATCATTCTTATACACATTGATCCAGATAAAAGCCACTTCAGGATTCAGACCAAATGGACCTTTGTGAATCAGATGAGTTCTGTGTTAAATGGGAGTTGTTCAGGATTCTCAGGGTTTATAGGGAAGGAAGGGCTTGGGGTTCTATTTCTCCTAAAAAAGAATTTTGTGAGGGATGTTCAGACCACCCACTCACGTTTTCCCATGGTGCCTGTGAAAAAGGCAAAATCCTGGGCTTCAACTCAAACCTGCTAAGTCAGAATCCTTCCAGTTAGGCCCAGAATTCTACCTTTTTCATGTGGTTTTTGGTAATGTTGAGTACCTTCACTCCAAGACTCGCTGCCCTGAGGCCAAGGCTATGCTGTGTCTGGTAGAGGCACAACCCACCAAATTGATAAACCAAGGAACATTTTTCTGACTATTTCTCCATAGGCACTATTTTGTTTTATGTATGTTTTTACTCATTCAGAAAAAGAAAAGAAAAAAAAGGCATCTCAGCAACTCCAACCTTTTCATCAATTTTTAAAATTTTTCATAGCCTGAAGTTTACTTTTCTAAGTTACAATGAAATAAAATTAATTTTATTTCTCTTGCAAAACCTTTTGGCATTGCAATGGTAATAGCTGAGTATTGCCAGGCTTACGATTCAGTGATGCATTTAGAGAATAAAGAGAATATAAGCATCTTGTTTTCAGTTATGTAGGCTAAACATTTGTGGAATAAGATAGAAACTAATTTCTGCTTTCTCATTACATGCTTAGCCCATTGCCTGGCAAATAGAAAATGATCCACAAATATTAGCTAAGATGGTTTTTATTACAACCTGAGCCTTTCTGTAATTGAGCTGGGGCAATCTGAATTAAGATTTTTTTTTGCTAAATCTAATTTTATTTCAAGGGCTAGGAAAATGCTGGTGGGCTACTTACTTTCAAACGTTGCTTTCAGTAAGCTTTCTTATCTCCTATTGTTGCTGATGAGATCAAGCCGATTTCAGTCAACAACCTTCCTTATGCAATCACTAGAGGTTGAACACTGTGTTGGATGCTGTGGGGCTCCAGGGATTTCAACATCACCCTAAAGCCTAGATTCCAACGTGTCCCAGCTTTTACTAAAAATAGCAAAATAATGTTGTAGACAGAAACACAGTGAATTTGGTATACAGAGAAAATGTAAACTAGGCAGAATGTTTTTCATGATATTTCCTACCTTTTAAGCCCAAACAATACAATATTATAAATATACTCTCTTTGCCTCACAGCATAATTACATCTAAAAAATAGTTGAAAATCCCTTCGTTGTAACTTGGCCAAGTGTATTGAACAAGAAAGAGTTCTTCACTTGATGGGCTTCTTATTTTATGGTTAAAAGTTTACATTTATTGGCCCGGTAATTCTAGAAAATCTCAGTCTTGATCTCTTGGAATTCTGCCTCTTCCACATTTGCTTTCTTATATATTTCTAGTAAATTTTACATCTCTTTCATGTATTCTGTCTCCTGTGTATCTGCATCAATCCTTGCTTCTTTATTTGGATTTATCTTACAGTTCTTTCATTCTCTCTTTGGTGCCATTAATCTATTACTTAATCTGTTCCTTCCAATAACTAATCCACTTATCAATGCATTTCTAGAAGGTTTACTGGGTTCTTTTTCAAATTTGCTTGGTCTTTTTCATGGCCCCTTGCTTCTTGTTCAAGAGAAGCTACACTCTTATCTCAAGAAGAAGATAAATTAATTCTTCTCTCTTATGCCTATAAAAATATTAAGTATACTTTTTTGTACTTTATGTCTGATAATTTTAATATCTGAAGACTTTGCAAGTCACACTTTGCTGTCTGTTGTTTCTACAACTCATTGTGTACTTTTGATTTTGGACTATGAATTCATGCTCTTTAGAAAAAAAGGCATCTCAGCAATTCCAATTTTTTCAATTTTTAAGAATTTTCATAGTCTGAAGTTTACTTTTCTAAGTTAAAATGAAATAGCTTTTATTTTAACTTAGAAAATAAAAGCTTAATCTGTCAGAATTTTTTGAGACTGAGATAAAGTTAAGTTTTTCTGGACCCTGGTCTGTGCTGGCTTCATCAAAGTTTAGTCATCCTGCCTGGCTGCTGTGGTCAGTGGTTGAATGTCCACCTATGAACCAGGAGGTCATGGTTCAATTCCTGGACATGCAGGAGGCACGGTTCCCAGTAGGGGGTGTGCAGGAGGCAGCCAATCACTGATTCTCTCTCATCACTGATGATTCTCTCCCTTCCTCTCTGAAATCGATAAAAATATATATTTTAAAAAGGTTTAGTCATCCTGTAAGGATTCCTGACTTTATTTATTTTCAATAGGCTTTTTAGGTCTGATTTACATATCATAAAGTTTACCTAAGTTCAACTTTTATTTTTGTTCAAATTTTAAAAGACTTCTGATGTATGGAGTAAAATCTAGAATCTGACAGACTGAGGGGGAAAGTTGATGCGCTTGTTGAGGGAGAAAGGGCAGGGGACTTGAATTATTTTGATAAGAAGGGATGAGACAAGCAAAAAGACTCAGATATTTATAAAGAGTTGTTTCTTAGAAATGTGGTTGAAGGAGAACATAGGTGGAAGAGAGCCAGAAAATTTTTATTTGGTTAATTCCTACTCATTGTTCAGGTGGTTTCGTGAATGCCAATTCCTACTGGAAGCCATCCTGAATCTCTCTCCATCTGGCTTAGGTGTCCCTGCAATATAGACCTAGAGCTCACCATATTTATTCAATTAGAGTAATTACAAGAACGTGTTCTAATTACTTGATGACTTTTCTGGGTTACTTTAGACTCCTCGAGTAGATGTCAGCAAACCCCTGTGAGCCAAATCTGGCTCACTGTCTGTTTCTATTAAAAAAAAAAAAAACTTTATTGAAACAGAGTCATACTCATCCATGCATGTATTATGTAGCTACTTTATGCTACTATGGCAGAACTAAGCAGTTGCACCAGAGATCATAACAGCTTGCAAAATCTAAAATACTAGCTTTCTGATTCTTTACCAAAGAAGTTTGTTCTAGTGTATACTATCTATCAGAGTAGAACAGTGTCTGTCTTGTTTACTGTTGTTTCTAGAGAGATTACTGTGGTCTTGTCACATAGAAGAAGCTAAGTAAATATAGGTGAACGTAGGAATTGAATGGAAAAGGGTTTGGGGTTGTGTGAGTTTAGAATGAGTTAAAACTAACCAGAGAAATAAATAAAAGTGGTTATGTAGGTAAAGTCCCATTTTAAAGAACTTCCTTGTAATGTGTCAGGAAGGCAGTGGGGATAGAGTGCAAATAATCAGGCAGAACTGGGTCCCATGCCTGCCCCCGGTGCTCATTAGCCAAGTGGTTTTGACCAAATGAAAATGATAAACATCAGCTTCGTTTCGTAAAGGTGGGATTCATCTGCATGTTCACAGAGCGCTATCAGGATCTGGTGAGATGCTGTGTGCACAGCCTCTGACACACAAACGGGAGCTCATTCAATGCTGGCTCCTTCCCACCTTGTTTCCTTTTTTTCCAAATGCATCTGCTTCTTTGTCCTTAAAGATGGACTAAAACCAGCCCATTGGCAACATGGTTCTAATGACCACACGTAAGTCTACATCAGCCAGATAAAAGTCAATGTTTAATTCAAACATAGTGCCCTGTGGTGAAAGGCAGGACGCTGAGTTTTCATCCTGACCCAAAGGGCAATCACCCTTCGATTCCCTCCTTACTTCACAGCCTAAATGTTCTTGCAATAAACACAGAATCCATCTGAGCTTATACTTTCCCTATAATTAAAAAAAAAAAAAAAAAAAAGACTAAACTGCTAGAAAAAGTGATGTTTTGGTGGAGGGGACATCTCTCAGTATTGGGTAAGTTCTGCCTAGCATAGTGTAAGTAAAATAAAACTTGACAGTCTCAGCAAGCTTTTTCTACTATACCTGTCTGCCTATCAGCTGTGTGACTTTGGGCAGCTCACTTAACATCTCTGAGCTAGTTTATTTTTATTTATTTATTTTAAAAATATTTTTATTGATTTCAGAGAGGCAGGGAGAGGGAGAGATAGAAACATCAATGATGACAGAGACTCATTGATCAGTTGCCTCCTGCATGGCTCCAATTAGGGATCAAGCCTACAACCCAGGCATATGCCTTTGGCCAAAATCAAACCTGGACCCCTTCAGTCTGCAGGCTGATGCTCTATCCAATGAGCCAATCAGCTAGGGTGAATTAGTTTATTTTTAAAACTAGAGGC